TTATTTACTTGAATAGCTTAACCTGCTGAGCCACAATGCCAATTCAGAATGAACTCTTATGGGATATTCATGGTATTTTGAAGTTAAATGAAGTTCTCAACAGTTCACTCTTTGGAATGGAGGTTTATTAAATAAAAACAAACAAAAAATAAATAAGCAAACAGCAAAGTACCACGTCAGCACAAAAGCCTAAACCAAACTTATCATTTCACCCTGGCTGCTTGGCTTTAGTAACAGCCTAGAGGATTCCAGCTGTGCTGAGGGATGGAAATAAGCAAGAGCGAATGTTCACAGGCAGCCTGTGCTCAGGAGTTCCTCCTTTGTTCTGCTTCCCCCAAGGCTTAGGTGTCAAGGCTTTTCTGATCAGCATGACTGTACCATGCTCTCAGGAACAGGGTTGTATGATTAACCTGTTTCAAATAAAGACAGCAAGCAGTTATGCAGCTTTGTTTATGAAGGGAATCATCTTCTTCCGTCTAATTTTATTCGTCACATAAAAAAGAATGTATCTTTGCATCACACTTACATGCCAAGGTGTGTACAGCTCTCTGGGTTATAGATGAGCCTTTTATACAGGAATATCCTCCCGGATGGCTTGGGCCTAGATTAATCCTCTTGCCATTGACACTTGGAGGAATGAGAACAATACTTTATTACATATTTTAACTTCACTTAGTTATGTTGATCTTACCACAACGGGCTTTTTCAAATTTGAGATTTATTTTATTTTTATTTGAAAGGCAGAGTTACAGAGAGGAGAGATAAAGGGAAAAAATCTTCCATCCACTGATTCACTCCCCAAATGACCATAATGACTGAAACTGAGCTAGTTTACAGCTAGGAGCTTAACCTACTATGCCAAGGCACCCTCCCTACCACAAGTGGCTTTTAATATCCTGAAAGTTGCTTCTGCTTCATGAGATGCTGTTTGAAATGAAATTTAGAGAAGAGGTTGTCATGAGCAGGTGATTTCAAGAATTAGACAGGAATTAGAAATACTGTTTACTGACTCTAAGGCAAATATTGACGCCCTGTGTGCAGCTACTTTATTCTTTAAAATACCTAGAGTCTTACCATTTACTGTGTAATCAGCAAACAGATGGCACCGGCAATATTGGAAAGTTAGAACTTTTAAAATCACAGGCTGCACTCAAGCCTCCTTGAATAAGACTCTGCATTTTAAGATGTCCAAATGAGTTCTAACTATAATGATATCCAGCTCCCTAGGAATATGTGAAATCTCTATTCCTGGCCTTGGAATCTCCCCCTCCCTGGATGTAAGTCGTAAAAGACTATCTTTGAAAGCATTCTTCTTTTGCTACACAGGGGAAAAATGAGTCTGAGCCTGAAGGCTTCCTGGGAACTGAGGCTGCCAGTCCTTCCAAGGTGCACGAGAGCTCTCACATGGCCAAGGTAGATGCAGCATTAGGAGAAGGGATGACCCTTTTGAGCATATGGAGAGTGCAGATTCTTTAGTCATCAAGTGCCATTACAGGAATTCTTGTGTTTTCTCATCCACTCATGTTGAAAGAAAATAGTTGGCCATATTTTTCAAGGGAACGGAAAAGTGATTTTTTATAAATATTTTTGGTAGTTCTGATTTTCTTGTTATCATAATCCATATGAGATATATTCCATATGAGATATGATATATGAGTACTGTGTGGAATATATCTATATCTATCTATCTATCTATATATATATATATATATAAATGTTTGCTCATTTGCTCTACTACTGTCTTTGCACAGTCTGAGCTGTTCATGTCATTACCTGGGTAAGACAACTGGACCTTTATAGCTATGGTGCGCGCTGCTGATATCAGCAATGCAGACAGAGGCAATTTTGGAACTTAGATAAAGCAATGGATTCTAGAGACTTTGGGGGCCTAGCAGGTGCGTAACAAGAACAGGAATCTAGAAAGCTGGAGAGGAGTAACTCCTGTGGCTGGGACTTGCTGGTGTTCAGGGGCAGGATTACAGATGTTTCTCTTGGATAAACACCTTCTCAATGAAGGGTTTTAATTGTATCCATTTTAGGAAAAAGATGCTGGGCTCCTATAGGCCTTAGGTTAGGGAACATCTAACTACAGAGAATTGTTTGTGATTAGTCCGCGATTCATTAGAGATAATTTTGTTGAGTTTGCCACATGTGGCTACATTTGATTGGAATTGATATTAATGTCCTCAAAGGGGGTAAGAAGTCCCGGAAGCTGGTGAATGAAGGATCCTAATCATTAGTGCATGAGTCTAGTGGGACAGAAGCCAGGTCACTTTTATGTTAACTGAGAGGAAATGAACAATTCTCAGAAATTTTTTTGTTTGGAAATACTTAGTTATGAGGAAGTCATCTTATTTAGACTTGAATAATTCACACCTGGATGTACAGACGTGGATGATTCTTGTACTGTATAGACTAAGATCTTGGAGTATACTGACCGGAATTCACGAATTCCTGTCGTCCACAGAACTTAGCAGAACATTGATGAATATTCCTTTGGTTTTTAAAAATGAGAATATAGATCAAGCTGATCAGTTTTCCACACTGGATGTGTTGAATGGATGATAAAATTTCTCAAATCAAATGATCTGTAAGAGGTAAGGTTATGTTTAGAAACTTTTCTTCAGTTTGTCATATTTATGAATAAACGACTTTGTCTAAGGCTTCTTTATGATAATTAGGGTGAATTATTTAGATAAATCCTCAAAAAATATCTTGGTGGGGTTTATTTTCATTCTCTTATACTTAGAACCATGAATTCAATGTGACCTCAGTGTACTTATGTACAAAGCTCAGAGTTGTGAGGGATGTAAGATTCTCCTAACATCTATGATCCAAACTTGAGGGCTGAAATGGAGAAAGAGTTCCCTGCGGCCATTGTGAACCCAGTTCAAACACAGGTTACATTTTGCCTTTGATATTTCTGAGCAGGTTTTTCACAGCTGCCCAGGGAACATTGCAGAAGTATGTTGTCACCTGAAGTTACTAGGGACTGTCAGCAGCTAAAGGGAAAGGGAAAGGGAAAGGAAGTGAGAACAAATGACTTCAAACAAATCTGGTTTTCAAACAAAACCCACCTCTCCAAAAATATTTTAAGAGATGTTGAGCCTTATCTTTTTTTCCTTTCTCTTTAGTTTCTAACTGCTAAGCTTGACAGGAAACTTGCAGTTCATTTTAGGAAAATTGTATGTGTGTGCTCATGCGTGCATATATATGTGTGAGAGAGAGTGTGTGTATATATGAATGGCTTTTATGTGAATGTAGGATTGCCTTCTCCAGTTATCTCTGCATTAGGTAAAAAGCTAACTTTCATTGATCTGAGCAATGCTGGGCTAATCATTTATTTACCATTGCAGGAAAGGCCTCCATGTCGATCTGCAAAGCTCTGGCACTGCTGGTCCCACCTCTGAGTTCCGGCTGCTTTCTTGTTCTCCCACCCGAATGCCTTTCTTAGTCTGCCTCCATCTCTCTTTCTTTTGACTGTTTGCATCTGAGCAACAAGTCACAGGTACTCTCTCTGCTGTCCCCGCTCTATTGTTACTGTATGGGTACTGTATGTATTCAATGAATTTTACATGCTTGACATTTAAAGTGATTCACTACAGTTATTGAATCAAACCTTTCCTGTACATGTTCCTTTCTTTTTCTCTTGTGCCTGTTATTCGAATATTCGTCAATTTTGGTAACTAAAAAGTTACATTTAATAATTAATTAAAACAACATCAGGAATCTTTTTTGGAGGGAAAAACAATAATCATCATATTCTTAATTACCATGTTTTATGTTTTAATTTCAGAAGATGCCATACTCCAATATGTATATGCATGTTGTTTCATATTCCACTATTTCTATGTAAATATGCCTTCTATAATCTATATAATTATTTTAAAGGACTTAATGATTTTCTATGATATGGATATATACATGTTTATGACTATTTCATCTAATTTATTTTAAAGTATTTAAGTTGATTTTCATTTCTCTTCCTTCTTGGTTCTTCCTTTCATTTTAATTTTAGAGTTTGCTTTGGAATGGGCCTCTTATCGTAAAGGTTTGGTTTTTGTGGAGTGTTTTTCCTGTGAATATGGTTTCTGTGTAAAAGAACATGAATGAACATGACTGTATTATTGTATTTACAAATGAGAGATGTTGAAACTTTTAATGCTGGCAGCTGTGCAAATCCATGAAAGTTTCAGCAGCCATTGGAGTGTTGGATATAAAAATTTAAACATGTTTGTCACTGTGGTTAAATTGTTAGCTTAGGTTTGTTATAATTTAATTCCTTTCTATAAGAAAAGTGAGGTATTTGCTATGTTACAGTGTTTGTATATTCTTCTGTATGAATCCTGTTTATTTACATTATAAGGGGTACATGTCTATTCTTCCTCTGTCCTGAGAAACTAAAAGCAAACTCAACTTGGAGGTAAGGAGTTTCATAACCTTTTCCAGTAATTATTATTTTAGTCTGTTTATGCTACACACACATTTAAGTAGGATGTGAGTTGAATTCCCTAAAGAATCTACAGCATGAAGTTAAAAGTCTGGAATGAGATTTTTTTCCCCTTCATTTGTATTGCAGTGAGTAGATATTACATACAATTTCACTTCAATGTTAGACATGTTCCTTAAATAGTAAAATAGGGTACTTTTAATGTGGTGTTCATGAAACGGAAAGCTATATTTAAGAGAGAGGTGTTTGAATAACCTTATCCACTTGCTGCACATTTGCTTGAACATGGGACATGATGATGAGCTGACGTACCGCATGCTTTCAGGGTGAGGTTGGGAGAAAGACAGTAACTATGATGGATATGTTCCAGTAGGAGGATCAAAATCAAGAGAGATGCCCAGGAAATTGAGTCTTGGAAGCCTAGTGGAGGTCGCTCTGTGAGAGGGGGAGATACTGGGCTGCTGCTCTTTCGCTTCTTGGTATTGTCGTTTTCTGTGGGTGAGCCCTGACAAGGGACTTTGTCTTTCCCTAGAAAGCACCCATCAGGATCATGGGAGAGGAGTCTGCAGTCACAGAGGGAGGCCAGGCAGAAAGCCTGAACGCTGAACTGCTCTACCAGAAGGTCTGCTTGGCAGCCCGGCATCTCGACCTCTTCCTCTGGAAAGAAAACACCCACAAAGAGGTGTTCAAGCCTCACGTCCTGGCACTGAGGGGCGAGCTGCAGAAGGTCTGCATCCAGCTCATGTTCCTGCACCCGGTGGCTTACGGGAGGAAGGCTGAAGAGCTTTTGTGGAGGAAGACATACTCCGACATCGCTATGCTGCTATTGAACAGCAAACATATGGCAACCTTTCAACGCTGGGAGGGCCCCTTGCGGGCTCATCTGAAGGCAGGTCTAAGATTCTATGAGCATCTTTTCCTGTTCCTTCAGGGTCACTACGAGCTCAGGCTACAGAGCTACCTAGATTGGCCTCATTGCACCATGCATTCCATTGGCTGCAAGAAAGTAGGACCCACATCAGAGGAAGAGGCTGCCTGGGCTCGCATGGCGTGCCATCGCTGCTTGCTCTACCTGGGAGACCTGTTCCGCTATCAGAATGAGTTCCTAGCACTGGCCACCGAGGACTTAGCGGAGAGATGCTACTTCAAGGCCTTATCCGTGGCTCCTCACATGGGAATGCCCTTCAACCAGCTAGGAGCTCTTGCCGGGAGCAAGTACTATGGTGTTGGAGCAACCTACTTCTATCAGCGCTGCCTGCACTCGGAGGTGCCTTTTAAAGGGGCAGCTTGGAACCTCAAGCGACTCTATGATCATGCAGGGAAAAGGTACAGTCGCCTGAAGAGGTACCAGGGAAAAAAACTGTCTCCCAGGCAGAAGCAGTGTTGGGATAACAAAAGGCTGCTAGTGAGCTTCCTCTACCTACAGAGCCTCCTGCAGCCCCAGCGCAAAGTCAGGGCAGCCAGACTGCTCGCCTTGTGCCAGTTGGTTCTGGAAGACTTTCGCCTCTGTCTTTCCTATCGGCCATGCCTATCTGACTCGAGCCAGGCTGTCCCAGGGGGAAAGCCCTCCCGCCGCGGCTGCGTGTTTCTTCCAGACGTCCTCATCTCCCACATGGTGGCTCTTTGCCTCATGAACGTGCACAGCCTGAAGAAAACCGGCTCCAGGCGACACCGGCTGGCGGTTATCTTTATCTTGAGACTTTCCTCTCATCTCATTCAGCATGTGAGTACACGAATCCAGGCCAGACTCCAGCAAGGGAGACAGACTCCAGACACAACTGGCTCAGGGGATGGGATCCAGGAGATGGGGACTGGGGAGGGGCAACGAGACTTTCCAGGCCCCTGTCCTGAGCTCCCGCAGAGCCAGCCACACCAAAGCCTCAGGTGGTCTTGTGTGTCTGGCAAAGATTCCGTGTCGGAAGTCAGTTTTCACTCTTTCAGTGACTCAGATTCGGAGAGCGATGAAGAGGGAGGCACATTGTTCAACTCCCAGGTCCACTCAGAAGCATGGAATGAAACTTCATCCTCAGATTCCACTGATGATGAAGGGGATGATGCTCCAAATTCAGAAGCAAGGCAGGAAGGCATGGCCACGGCCAGATACAAAGGTGCACATCTCAGGAGTGAGTCAAAGACTTGTCAATCTTTCACTTGTCTCCTAGATCTCTTGAAAATGACTGTTTCTGCTAGCCTGCCAAAGCCATTGGGTCCAAAGCTTCAAGCAAAACAGGGCTTGCCCTTGGCTGCTGCCTTTGGTCCTTGTGCTTTGAGGCTACTGTGTGAGCCAGGTCCTGTCTGCCACAGCACATCTGAGGTTAAGGATGACATGAGCAGTGGTCTTGAGACAGAGCCTCCTGCTGCCTCCTGCGGGGGAGAGAAAGCTTCCATCAGCCAGGGTTGCTACAATCGCCAGATTGTTCAAAGAAAATTAAGCATTCTCTCTGCAGAGGGGCTGCTGCCCACCATCAAGGTGATTCTCAGCTGGTTCCGTACCAATCACAGCCTCCTTCCCACGTGTGGGCAGAAGCTAGTGAGCCTGTGGGAGCACCTGTGTGTGCTGCTTAACTGGCTGCCATCTGTGGGAGATCTTCAGGAACCAGACCTGGGCCTGTCCCATTACCTGCATGACCTTCTGCAGAGCCGTGCGGTCATAGAGGGCCTCGGGTCCCCATGCCTCCCAGAGGACATTGCACTGTGCCAGCACTCTAACCCACAGGTAGTCCAGGGCAGACCTGGCTTAGAGCAGGAAGCTCCTCCACTCAGCCGCCAGGAGGAAGCTGCTGTGCGCATCTGTTTCCTCAGAAGCTTCGGCCACTTTGCCACCAAACTCCCAGGACAATTCTTGAGATATGACCCTAAGCTGGGTATATTTGTGAGTACTGCATCTGAAGGGCTGGAAAGCTCATCTCATGAGATTCCAGCGAGAGCTCCAAGAATCACATTCTCCAAAGACGTTGTTCAGCTGTGGCTTCAGCGTGAAGTGAGAGATCTGGAGAAGACCCCCAGGAGCCCTCAGAGTCAGTCAGTTTTGGCTCCCTATCTGTTTCCAGACTCCCAGGCTCTCTGCGACCACCTTCCAATCATCCAGCAACTTGTCAGCAGCGGTAAGTTTTTCCTCATCATATCCAAGACTGTGGTCGACATACTCTATGTCCAAAAGAGGGAAGACCACAGGGCCTCAGCAGTGGTCACCTTCTTAGAGGATGAGCTAAAGAGGGGCAACCAGTACATTCTATGCCAGTCCTTTGTGTCCAAGAGGTTGGTGAGGCCCAGGATGATAAAGCCAGACGCTGATGCCTGGGACCTTTATAATATTCTTGACTTCTGCAAAAGTCTGCTGGACTCCTCTGGTGCAGGGACATCTGATCCCAGCAGCTTGGTTACTATCATCACTGGCATCTGCTTGGACAATCCTAGGAATCTCTCATACCCTCTGCAGCTGGTGTTGGGGACAGCAACGGAAGCTGGTGTGGAAATCAAGAATGTCCAGTGCTTCCACAGAGCCTGGAAGGCGATCAGCTGACATGGTCACGTGTCATCGTCCTTCTCCTTTAGCATGTGTGGATCAAACGCAACCAGCTTTTTTCCTTCGGAAGAATCTCTTGTTCAAGGAGACACTGCAGCCACAAGTAGAGTTGCAGTGCATCACCGTTCAGAGGCCATCCTGTGTTCCTTCTTGTCATCTTGGTTTGATGCCATGTTCTCTGAGAAATCTCAACCTTAGACAAAATCTGTGCTTTGTATTTTTAGAGTAAAGCAGCCCGTTCAGGAATCGCAGATCTAGCTCAGTGGAACTGCAAATGCCTTAGCTGTTTTGTGTCACAAGACTTTTAATTTTCATGTTGCTTTCGTATGACGATCCTATGACTTATAGCAAAGATAGACCTTTGCCCACTGTGAAAACTCAATAAAAAAATATTGCTTAAAATTTTTAAGCTTTGGTTGTCATGGTGTTGTCTTTCTTGCCTTTTTTTGTTGTTGTTGTTCTTTCTCCCAGATTGCTTTGGGGAGTTCTTTTTAATCTCCTGCTGAAAATGCCAAACGGGAATTTTAAAAAATCATTTCTTTACTTTTCATTGCAAAGTTAGATGTATAGAGAGGAGAAGAGACAGAGAGGAAGATATTCTGTCCAATGATTCACTCCCCAAGTGATGTTAATGGCCAGAGCTGTGCTGTTCCAAAGCCAGGAGCCAGGAGCTTCTTCTGGGTCTCCCATGCAGGTGCAGGGTCCTAAGGCTTTGGGCCGTCTTCTACTGTTTTCCCAGGCTAAAAGCAGGGAGCTGGATGGTAAATGGGGCTGCCAGGATTAGAACCGGCACCCATATGAGATCCCGGTGCATTCAAGGTGAGGGGAATAATTTTTGCCCTAAATTTAAAAACTAAATGCTTGTGAAAAGTTAGAATGGCCTTATTCTGAAAGAAATATACTCTATGTGTTGGTATCAATCACTGCTTTTCTCTACACCCGTTCATAACCATCTTCCCTGATAAACCATAATATTTGAACTTCATACTTCATTCTGGAGTCCAGGCTGTGGAGGCATAAATTTTCCTCTGTCCTGGTGCACTATTCAAGAGCCTTGAGCTCTTGAATTTCAGTTAAATTTCCTGTCATTCCTCTGAATATATGTTTTTTTAAATGCCTCTTTTTGCATTTTATATTAGAAAATTTTCACAAACTAAGAAAGAAAAACATAGATTGTTCCATTTGAATATTGCCACTTTTGTTTTTTAAAATCTCTTTCCTATGCATACATATTTTTGTATGAGTAATTATATTCTCTAAGTATCTTTTCAGCCTAATTTTACATTTAAATTGCAAACATTTGTTACAGTATTGTATTACTTTTATTGTTTGCTTTAATGGCTGCTTGCTATTATTGCTTATTTAAGAATTCATCTTTTTTTAGTGTTATTTTCCATCACGTGATAAAATTTTTGTATCTGTTAAGTTCAATTTTTAGGATAGATGAAGAGAAATTTATTTACTGAGTAAGAAGCATAGATATATGTAAGTATCTTATTACAATTATTGGTGCATACATATATTCATGCATATAAAATAATTTAATAAGCATTAACAAAATAATAATTTAAACAATGCAAATATTTTATACAGTTTTATTGCCTATATGTTAAGTATATTATAACATTTTTAACCTATTCTTTTAAATATTTTTAGCAAATGACTATCATATTTGTATGGCGTAATTTGGTTAATCATCATGTTATTTTGGGAATTTGTTCTATATTTTTGCATATTATAAATAAATATTTGCAAATGTCTTTGATAATGAAGATGAATTTCTTTTTTAAAAAAATTTTATTTTTAAAAATAATTATTACGTGGTTGATCCAGGTGGAAAGGATAAGGTTTAGGGAAAATTGGGTGAATTCGTTACTTTCAAATTTGCCATTTCTTGTTGTTCCTGGGGAAGGGGAGAAATAAAGGGAAAAACCACTCACGACTTTCCACATGACCCAGGAGATAAATTTCTTGAAGTAGAATTATTAATGACACAAAGGATATTAAAATCCTTATGCTCCTAAGCAATAATGATAATGCTATTCAGTTGGCTTCCAGAAAGATGTGTGTGCATATCTCTCTGCATTTAATTCAGGGAATTCTTTATTTTTCTTGCCAATTTGACAAGTGAAAATATCCTTTTATTTTTAACTGCAGGAGCTTAGTTGATTAATTATTTTAACATTTTTGCCCCTGTCACTTTTAATTTTAATAGTAGAATTTGTTCTTTTTCTTCATGCATATTTTTGTAATGTATAGTCACAACAAAATTATGTGAGTGTATGTATTCAAGCAAATTCCAAATACCACTGCATCAAGTAGAGAGTTGACTGTTCCTATATTTTTTTTGTATTGCTTGATGCAACCTTTCTGGTATATTACATTCATATGAGGGAAATAATCAAACTGATGAGAAGAAAAAAATAGGTCAAAACATGCAGAGGGGAAGCAGACAATAAGAAAACAAGAATGTATGATTTTAAAGAATATACACAGAATTCTATTCTGGTGGGATATGCTTGGTTTTTCACATAGGAAAAGCATGGCCATTCGGTAGTGAACAATCTTCCCTCAAAAAGCAGAATTGAAAGGCTCCAAAATACATTTTGGAATGTTCTGGTTTAAATAATATGAATGGAATGGGACAAGAAAATCAAGAACAGTGCTTACTAACTGGCAACCTGGAAGATATTCTAGTTCTTTTCAGCCCACGATGTAGCCCTGCTCTCCTCTTTTCTGCTCTAATGCACATTTCCATTTCAAAATGCCTTGCCAGATGGGATGCTGCTGCCAGGAGTGCGCTCCGAAGACAGCATTGGCAGCAACATTAATCCATGGTAGTTTTGTTAATCTTTTAAATTTTTATTTATTTTTTACCTTCAGGGTTCATGCCCCCAAGAAAGTCTCCTACTGTATTCTGTGATATTTCCTTGGCTTTCTTCGAATGTTTTGTGAACTAACACACATTTGTATGGCCATCAGCAGATACCTTTCTTCTGGACTTTGGAAAACACTGAGAAGCACCAGGAACTATTTTAAAGACATCATGATATATGTCACTGATGTCTCTTGTGTGAATTGCTGCTTCCTGTTCACCATGAAAGGAATCTTGCTTGAGCTGTACAAGAATGGTGAAGCAAAGACAGAGCAGACTGTTATGAAATTGTTAGGATTCACTTGGTTCGCTTGGAGGATGAGCACCGTTGGTTAGCCCATGCAACAGACCATGGAGGTACAGAACGTTAGAAACACATTAGCTTCTTTACTCTTTCCATTCATCCTAAAATGCTTGTCTGATGAAAATACAGTCTTATGACCTAGACCTCTAGGGTTGTGGATAAATGTTATATACTAGGATGCTTATTCTACTCATCTCTTCATCATTGTGTGTGATGAATGATATATCACACAGGTAAAATTTGGAATAGTTTGATGCCTAAATCTTAGTATTATATGCAAAGGCTGAGCTAGGAAAATAACTCAGAAGCATCTTCATTGTCACTTAATTTTCTGAAAAGCAGAGCTTTATTTTTTTTAATACATGAAAGTTTATCACTTGGTTTCATAGTTGTTTAGATGGCTATGATGGAAATAGGGCTTTCATGAGCTAACTGGTTTATGATTGTCTCGTATCCCAGAAAGAACCATATTTTACAGATTATATTTCTCAAGTTCTGTGGCCACTAACTGATCTACTTGATGTTCCAAAGGTATCTGACTTCAAATCTCTCATACACCTCTGGCCTGCTTCATTTTTATTTTTTTTAAGGTTTATTTATTTTTTGTTGGAAAGGCAGATGTACAGATAGGAGGAGAGAGAGGAAGATCTTCCACCTCATGATTCACTTCCCAAGTGGCTACAAAGGTCAGGGCTGTGCTGATTCTAAACCAGGAGCCAGGAGCCTGTTCTGGGTCTCTCACGCTGGTACAGGATCCCAAGGCTTTGGGCCATCCTCAACTGCTTTCCCAGGCCACAAGCAGGAGCTCCTCAAAACACTTAATGAGCTTCTGTTGACTGCAGGAGATATAGATGAGACAGAACATGTAATACTTAGTTACATAGCTTGTAATGAATTGAAAGATGTAAACTGGCATATTTTACTCTGAGAACAACAGTTGAAACATTGCCAAATGTGTGTATATACTTTATCTTATAGACTGGATGCAATTAAACCATTGAAATTTATGACATTTGAAATTTATTAGCACAGAAATCTTTAATGTCAATTTATTTTAGCTGAAAGAAATTATGATTATCAAAATAAATTGTTTCTACAAAAATGAATCATAGATATACTGATCCCTTCTGCAAATTATTAAGTGATTTTTTTGGTGCTAATAATTTTATCTGATCTTTTAAATTCAGCTTACGCGTTTTGTAAGTCTCAGAGAACCTGAGTTCATTTAATAGATACGTATTTGTGAAGTTATTATGAAATTGAAACGAACCTTATTGTACATAGTAGAACGGCTTGTCTTTTTCTTATATAGTTAATATCTTTTTTTAAAGATTTATTTTATTTTTATTGGCAAGGTGAATATACAGAGAGGAGAGACAGAGAGGAAGATCATCCATCTGATGATTCACTCCCCAAGTGAGCGCAACGGGCCGATGCTATGCCGATCCGAAGCCAGGAGCCTCTTCTGGGTCTCCCACGCGGGGGGCAGGGTCCCAAAGCTTTGGGCCGTCTTTGACTGCTTTCCTGGGACACAGGCAGGTTGCTGGATGGGAAGTGGGGCTGCTGGGATTAGAACCGGCACCCATATGGGATCCCATCGTGCCGGGCCCTATAGTTAATATCTTAAGCGATTGCTTCAAACGAAATTGTTTGCCATCTATCTTTGGATCCTAGCCTTTGTGGAAGAAAACAACACTTCCTAGTGCATCTCAGATATTTGTCTCTTGATTTTATGTATTTCGGAGTGCCTCTGGGATCCTCAGGAAAAGTCAACAGATACCATTTCAAACAGGCTGCTAAGTTTTCCTACTGAAAGTC